TCACAGGGGGTTGGGTCACTACCTCAACCTTTGTTGCGCACATTTTTATGAGTTAAGTGCTATCCGGCACAAATGCCAACGCACACAAAGAGCGCAGAGAGCTCCCAATCTTCTTTACCTTCAGCCAGCAATCGCCAGCAGCCACCCCCCAATCGCCACCCCCCATTCGCCCCTTCACCCTATCGCCCTGACCCACCCACTCGCATTTCCCATTTCCTCCACATCGCACTGGACCGTGTTACTGCCCACTTATTGTGCTGTTGTTGACGCAAATCCTCTTAACTAAATCAATTTTCATGTGTGTCCGCGTGCGAATCTGAGTGGGTGTGGGTGTTTGGGTGTGTGGATGGGGGGTGCGTATTTCATTGCGTATGAGTATGTGTGTGTAGCCCTTGGAAAACCGCCAGGACTTGAAATTAATAATACTTAGTTGTTTGGTGGTCTGGTGGCGATCGTAGATAAAAGCCTTATTTATAAGTATTTTGGAAATAGTTATATTCATCATATATTTTTTATAAAATATAAATTAAATGATCTTTATTTTGTAAATCATACCCCTTAAAAAAATACCAAAAATTGCCATAAAAAACCCGCCAAAAAGTATGCATTTGTTTCAATCGGAAAATTGGTAACCATAAGGGAATAAATAAAATAAATTTTATACAAAAACAAACTAATATTGTAGGATTTTGAAAAATATTAAAAACAACTTTTCTTTGATAATAAAATATCCACTGAATTTAATGTTTTATTTAAGGCAAAAAGCGAAGACAAAGGCAGTCATGAATTAGAGAGAGACGGGCGACTAGAGATCTCGCCAGAAAGAAAGAGACCGCAGCATAAATTGTGCGCAAAATCTCGGGTTTCAAATCACTTTCGCCGGCGAAAGTTTCAAATCGACGCCGTCATCTGCAGCTGACAAGTGGGCGGTGGGCGGTTGAATGGTAATTTGTAAGGGTACGGGTAAATGGGTAAATCGGTGAATGGGTAATTAAAAGCCGACACTTGCACAGGTGAACTGACTGATGCACTTAATGACAAGTTAATTTGCTGTGATTTTCAGTGGGCGTGCGTCATTAGAAAGTCAACAACAAAGTCCAAGGAAGGCGGCCTTTAATTTGCTGGCCAAACACAAGCGACATTTAATCCGCATCGATTTGATTTGATGATGCAGTTAAGTGGGCTAAAAAACATCGCCAATCCGAGTAGTGGCTATCTCGCTCCCTCTCCGATTTCCTGTCTCCTTCTCCCTCTTTTTGGGGTCAGTTTGGCAGGCCGTCCTTCAAGCGGCTCGTTGGTCTAGGGGTATGATTCTCGCTTCGGGTGCGAGAGGTCCCGGGTTCAACTCCCGGACGAGCCCAAGTTTTCGGAACTATTTTTTTCTTTTTATAAATTGCAATTTGTTTTCACTTGTTGTGTAGTTATGCAGCCATATTAATTACGTTTTTTTTTTCCATACTCCCCGGTCAGTCAATCTTCATCAAGAGGGCAAAACAAGCGGGTAAAAAATATACCAGAGCACAATACAAATAAATATTTGAACAAACATTCAATTATTCTGTCGCCGAGCTTCTTGTTCTCATTTGTGTGACAAGTTTGCACATTTGTTATTGCGCCACGCCCCCCGCTGTCACTGTTGTTAATTTCATTTGACTTGCGAGCGGGTTTTCATATTGCAATGCAAATTTCTGTATTCGGTATTCGGTATCACAGGTACACAGCCAAAAATTTCCAGGAACCATTTCAAGTTTTCCATGATATTTGGGTGCTCCTGAGTAAAAGTCCCATACAAAATTATTTTCCATCACCTACAGGTTCCGCGGTATACCTAAGAATACAAAAAACCGATGTTTTCCGACATTTTGAATTACGCGGCCAATATAAGTGGACTTACCTTTATTATTTTCGGTAGGACCTACTCTCAATACATCACGGCACTACTAAAAAATAGTCTTAATCGTGAAGCATTGCCCATGTCTTTGGAATTCGACGCCAAAGTTGAAACTCCCAAAATTTTCAAAATTTGTGAGATGAAAAAACATTTCTGAGAATTAAATTTTGAATGGAACTAATTTTAAATATTCAATGAATCGATTGTTTATTGTATTCTTTAATTTCGGTTTTTAAGAGTTTTCATGAGGACATTTTATTGGATTTATTAAACAAATAAAACCGCTTTTTTGATTTTATTATCTACTCCTATTTGCTGTCAAATTTCAAATAAGTCAAGGCAACCCATAGAATGCGAGTAAATATGTATCTTTTTATATATAATATATAAAATCGCTACCATAGAAAAGAGGTACCAAGGAAAGTGGAGTCCATCAATGTTGGCTGATTACTGCTGGGGATTATTAAGGGAATCTTCAAGTTCAGGGCTCAGAAAAAAAAGGAAATGCAAAACCTCTTATTTTTAAGTCAATAGTAAGAACATTTAATTATTTTTTTAGTTTACTAATATATCTTATTTTATTTTCGATCTAATATAGAAATACAGAAACAGGATGAGGCAAGTGAATGATAAATCCATGATAAATAATGGAGTCTTTCGAACTTTCATTGAAACCGTTAATGTTGGTCAAGCAAAAGAAGCAGTCTGTGATGTGGTCTTTTGGTTCTATCCATATTGAAGGTCTTGAAAATGGCATCTGCCTAATATTTTTGCGTGTTGCTTCCATATCAAGTCTGCATTTGTCACAGCATGACTTGGGTACCCACGTTTTATCTTGATTTTGTATTTCCATGTTGAATACAATCTTGTAATTCCTGCATATTGTTTGGTTAATTGGTCTTCTTCTTTTAATTGAAATAAATAATCCGCAAACATAGCAAAAATTGTTTGGAGATGACTTACACGAGTCTTTTGGGGCCATTTTTTCTTTTTGACTGAACTTAAATATGTAAGGATTATCGCTGGCTACTAAGCTGTCTTAAAAATATTATGTTCGGAAGACCTTTTTATTTAATATAAATGTAAATTTATATTATATATAAAAAGATACATATTTACTCGCATTCTATAGGTTGCCTTGACTTATTTGAAATTTGACAGCAAATAGGAGTAGATAATAAAATCAAAAAAGCGGTTTTATTTGTTTAATAAATCCAATAAAATGTCCTCATGAAAACGCTTAAAAACCGAAATTAAAGAATACAATAAACAATCGATTCAATGAATATTTAAAATTAGTTCCATTCAAAATTTAATTCTCAGAAATGTTTTTTCATCTCACAAATTTTGAAAATTTTGGGAGTTTCAACTTTGGCGTCGAATTCCAAAGACATGGGCAATGCTTCACGATTAAGACTATTTTTTAGTAGTGCCGTGATGTATTGAGAGTAGGTCCTACCGAAAATAATAAAGGTAAGTCCACTTATATTGGCCACGTAATTCAAAATGTCGGAAAACATCGGTTTTTTGTATTCTTAGGTATACCGCGGAACCTGTAGGTGATGGAAAATAATTTTGTATGGGACTTATACTCAGGAGCACCCAAATATCATGGAAAACTTGAAATGGTTCGTGGAAATTTCACAAAGTTTAATTTTGTGTTCCTGTGTATTCAGTATTCAGTATAATTTGCCAGCGATGAAATAAACATGCAATTAATTGTGGCAGCCGTGACAAGCGTGGCTTGCAACCAATTAAGAAGGCCCAGTCCTTTAAAGGCGATCTCTGTGCCGGTCCATAGTCTATAGTCCACGAATCCAACCAAATTTCTGTGGATCCGGGACCGCAATCCGAATACTGATGAGACACCCAAGTGGACAAGGCCGGAAACGAGTCCAGTGCTTTTACAAAGGGAATGGAAATGGGAATGGGAATGGGATTCACTTCCATCAATCTGTCAGTCAGTTAGTGCGTCCTGGTGGTCCTTGTAGTCCTGGCCATATTCCCAGCGGGAGAGGGCAGTTGGCTAGACAGTCTGTCAGTCAGTGAGTCAGTCAATCGAACAATCAATCATTCGGAATGACAGCTACGTCGGCTTAAGTCAAAGGCAGTCAGTCGGCCAAGACGGGAGTTTGTCTGCCACCGTCTGACTTACAGTCGCAAAATTTGAAGATCTCTCAGCGGACCAACTAACTACTTATAAGGATATACTTAAAGATTTAAAAGTGAAATTTTTAAGACTAAAATGGGCTTTAATCTTTCAGCATTAAGGGAAATTTAAGTATCGATAATCGCATGGTATCCCGTATTTATAAGCATATCGTTTTTACCATGCAATACTAAAAAAATCATTCGGAGATTCTCTGAATTCAAAATTGATTGAAAGAAGCAATAAGGCGACTTAAATTACATGAGTAAAAGCGATAAAAGCACATTTAAAATTCGAGCTTATCGAATTGAGATGCCACATATCAAGTCAAATTTGTTACCACTTAATATTAAATAGATCATCGTTTCATATCAAGTTTTTTTGGGTGTAGGATGTTAAACTTCTGTCAACTATTTATGCAATAATTGTTTAGTACCATAGGTTTTTTATTTTTTTGCAGTTTAAAAAGTAAAAACTTTATTTTTTTATATAATACTTTTTTTTACAAGTGTTTTTTCATGTGCAATTTCTTATTCCCCTAACATTCCCACTGTTTTTAGCTCCTTTCTCGTTTTCGCTTAGTCTGCCTTAAACAGTTGCTCAGGAAACACATTGATTTATATGCCGGCATCGCCAAAAATTGAATGTTATTGCTTGAATGGCCTCAATTTACTTAAAAGCTACGCCCCTCCTGGCTCCTGACCCCAGTAACCCTCCTCAAAAGAGTGGGGAACTCCGCCTGGCTCCAGCCTGATTGGTATTTATGAGCGTGTTTATTTATTATATGACCCAACACTTGATAAAATTAAACGGAAATGGTTGGTAATTTTGCATTTGGCCATTTTGATTTTGACGCCCCTGCAGGCAATCCCCCCCTGAAATTTGCTGGCCATAAAACATACGTAATACGTATGCATGGAATAGAGAATAGAAAAGTGGTTTAGGGTGGTGGTAACTTACCAGAAAATAGACAGCAAATGGCATCACGACCACGGCGACCAGGAGATCGGCGATGGCCAACGAGACTATAAAATAATTTGTGACTGTCTGCAGCGAGCGCTCGCGGCACACGGACAGGATGACCAGGATGTTGCCGAAGAGGGTCAGGATGGGGAACAGAATCAGGATGAGCGCCCAGTAGTTGTGGTCCACTAAAAAGGTAAGATAAGAGTCAGACAATCGGGCATTCCGTGATGTTCGTGTTCGTGTTCATGTTTATGCGGTTTCATTTTCATTCTCATCCGCAGGCTGTTCCGTTGCAAACCCAATTCCCAAGCCAAAGTCCCCTTTGCAGTTTGCAGTACAATTACATGAAAACAACCTCGACTTGCACGTTAAGTCAATTATTAATTCAGCGTTCTTTAATGAAAATGTGGCTGACTAACTAAACTAAATAAAGTGTTTGTTTAAGCCAGGTGGAAATAGCAAGCACAAACAAAGGCAAACACCTATTAAAAGAAAAATTAAAATTTATTCTATTAATTTTTGAGAAGGTACTTCCATACATTTTAAAAATGGAATACATTTGAATTCTTAATCTTTTTCAACATAATATTAATATTAAAATTGTACTTTTTCTCAACGAAATTACAAACATAATGGAAGCTCTTTGAAGTTAATTAAATATAACAAAAATATATTTTTGATAACCGAACCTAAAGGGGACCATCATATAATCGGTAAGCTTAAGTATCGGAGGTACCTTTAAAATCTTTACATTTAAAGGTCCGATTTTTACTGGTGTTTCAGAATTAAGAAAATGCACCGATAAATATATTTATCTTTAATTTTATAATTCTCTTTAATAAAAAAATAAAGTACAAAAAAATATTATTTTATGCAACAAAATTTAAAGCATCGCAGTTAAAAACACTTTTTTATTTATTAGGAATTTCATATTAAATCTAAGATCCAAGTAATCAAATTAACTAAAACTGGACGTCTTAACCATATTTCAAGTTAATAAAAATATTGTATGAAAGTCAAAGCGAAAATATAAATATGAAATTAATCTATTAATATTTTAATTTTTTAATATTAAATATTTTGCAAGTGATTTTGTAACTTTGAACTATAATTTCTGCTGTTCATTTACATGAAAGCTCTGCAGAGTTGGCTTTACTTCAGGGTTGTTGAATGTCTTCCCTATTTTCCTATCTATTTTCTTTTTCTATTGCAATCTTTCGCATCTTTGGTACTCACCCACTCTCAGCTCGGCACACGAGTCGGTGAGGTTGAGGCCGAGCGTCTCGTTGGTGCAGTTGAGCCGGTAGCCATCGAGGTACAGTCCCGTGAGGTTCTGCTCGAGCAGCAGGCCGCCGCCGCCCCTTCCCCCGGTGATTGCCACGCCCATGCCCGCTCCCGCCCCCGGCGCAATGGTTGTTGTTCCCGAAACCGTGCTCCCATTGTAGTTGGGAAAATAATCGTTAAAGTTTTCGAGCAGCAGCATAAAGGTGCTGCCCCCTGATCTGCCTCCTCCTCCTGCTCCTCCGCCGACCCCGGCTCCTCCGGTTCCAGCCAGTCCGCCAGAGCCGCCTCCATCGTAGCTAGTGATGGCCGGCGCCGTTCGATTGCTGAGCGTTTCCCGGGCCGCCGCCGCCGTCCGCTGCAGCAGCTCGGCATCGCCGAAGCCAAAGCCGCCCAGCAGGCCGTAGTCCGTTTCCGCATCCGCCACGTTGTCCAGTGCCGCCTCCTCGCCGCTGTCGATCAGCGCGATGCCAGCATCGCCGCCGCCGCCACCGGCCGCTCCGCCCGCCGCCCCCTCGCCACCCGTCGCCAGCTGTTGCTCCACAAAGCTGCGCAAGGCGTACCGCCCCCGGCCACGCCCCTCCGCCGCCTCCTCCGCCGACGCCTCCACCTCCGAACTGGTGTTGTGGTGGCCGCCACTGCGGTGGGAACTCGGCAGCGTGCTATTCAGCACTTCCAGCCAGCCCAGCGTTTCGTTGGCGCCTCCACCGGCTGTCACCGCCAAGGTCGTACTGTTCCCTGCCCCACCACCACCACCACCACCACCACTGCCCACCGAACCACCCAAGAGCCACTCGCTGATGTCGTCGATCAGCGCATAGCCGGCGTCCTCCGCCGCCGTTTCCACATCCTCGTAGAGCGGCAAGTAGCCGGCCGGCATTGTGGGGCCCTCAACGCCCGCCGACGCATCGGTGCCGTTCGCCTGGAGATCCAGATCCCCATCCGCCACCAGTTGGGAGTGGTGTTGCTGCATCCACGTGGCTCCCGCGGATGCTCCCGATGCGGATGAGGCTGCCGTCGATGTGGAAGCGGCCAGGGTCGCCGTTGTGGCTCCGGCCGAACCGGTTGCCACGGTTGTTGCTCCCGTTGTTGCCGCAGATGTTGCCGCCGATGTGCTGCTCAATGGCTGGGCGGCCATGATGCAGCCGATTCCGCTGCCGGATTCCCCGCCGCCAATCGAATGGGCTCAACCTCTAGTGGGGCGGGGGCGTGCCAGCGGACACGAGCTGCAACTCCTGCAACGCCAGCGGCATGTTTCCCTTAGCTGGAGGGTAAGAGATGGAGATGGAACAGAGGTTAGAATATTGCTAAATATATTTTATATTTTTCGATTAATAAATCAAGTATAATATATCATATTAAATCGAATAGGTATCAAAGAACTTTAAAGTTCGTCAGCACTAAGACCTTCTGGGATGTATACCATCAAACAATGCATACAATTCATGGGCTAAACAAAGTATGTCTTTTTACGTTTATAATTCCCTCAAACAAATTCATGAAATATTTTGAGTATAGTATTTGAAAAGTAAGGAGTGTCACTTTTCAAATATTTCGACTGCATAACAATCCAAGAATCTGTTCGCTTGTAAAATAGGTTCAAATATGGAAAAAAAAATGAATTTTTCCAACTCTGAGGTTCTTTTTCCCGAATCAATGCGTGGGAGAACTTGTATGCGAGTATATTTGAAAATGGTACTTTAAAGCAAATTTTTAGCATCCATTAAAGTAAATAAATATGGTTCAATGTTGTTAAGCAATGTTAAGCAACATTTTTAGAAAAATGTAAGATATTTTAAATATAATTTAATTTAATCTATTCTTTCAACAAAATATGTTATTGTTATTTAAGTGTGGTTAAAAAGGCATTGATAACGATCATCTTTTTAAACCCCTTAACAGACTGACATGTCAGCAGTTCCATAAAATTTTTAAACAATTATGCATTTATTTGAAATTAAATAACCAATTTTTCTCCTTAAACTTCTTCTGACTTTTTGCATTCTATGTATGTAATCGTTTTTTTTTGTAGTTTTGTTGTTTTTTTTCTGCTACTACGGTGCACTCGTGTGCATTTACCTCGATTGCATTTTAAACACACCCACACTTTTTCAAGTCGGGTCCTGCACTTTATGCCTTTGCAATTATCTATCCGCTTGGCCACGCCCCACGTCCCACCCTTTACGCCCCCTTTTTGGACGAACAGGACCCACTGCCGACTGCCATGGCCGCATGTTTAATTAACTCTTTAATCAATTTATTGCCAATTATTCTACAAAAAGCGACAGCGAAAATTGTGTAATTTAATTAAATTAGCAAAAGGTTTTTGTGTCTCTCCCCTTAGCACCCCCTTTTCCCACTGTTTTTTTTTCTCTTCTCGACGCTATCTTGCCCTTACACATTTTGCAATTTTCGCTTTTGTATTTGCCAATTGACGCTGATTAAAGCCGCCCCGAGTCGATGGCCCATAATTAAAAGATGGCTCGTTGTAGCCTAATGAGAAGAAGGGGGATGATGAGAGGGCGGTGGCCACCTCCTTCAGTTTTAAGGGGTCAAAAGTAATCGGATCCGCAGCAAAGGGCTCGAAGTGGACTCATTACCCGGCATTGCTGCTGCTTTTGCATTTGCCTCTGGATCGGGAACTCTCGATTGCGGATTCTGAATCTGCAAGAGATCCAAAGAGGAGGAGAGTACGAGAGTACTAATCAAATTTTGGCACACTACCCAGGCGAGAGAACGAGGCCATCAAAATGGCGCAGTGCTGTGTCTGCCGGGCTTTTTCATTAATTACGGCTAAAGCAGCAGTGGAAGCAGCAGTAGAAGCAGCAGAAACACCAACTTAACTTAACTCAACTCAACTCAAGTCAAGTCAAACGAAGCGAAGCAAAACGAGACTCAGCCGGACTAAGACCAACCTGCAGCGCCACTGCGAACTCAGCTCAGCTCAGCTGAAGTCGAGTAATTAATTTCACTTTCGCTTGAGCGATGCCTTTGAATATGCGCCAGCCGCACGCAAGCCATAAAGCACAGGAGTCCGTAGTCCGGAGACCGGAGAATGGAGACCCTGGCCCCCAAGTCCGCATCCGGATTCTCATCTGGGCGAGAGTGTCGCTTCCTGGCCTCTAGAATCCTGCCTCCCTCTGCCGCATTGCCACATAATTCAGGCGACTCCTTTCAGGATTGTCTGGTCTATTACATCCTAATCATTGTTGGCACACATATCGGGCTCCCCGGCGACAGCGACAGGAACACGGAATCGTTAAGCCTCCGACTAACCGCAAATCAAACGGCTACATTCGGGCTCTCAGGGAAACAAGACCTAATCAATGGGTCTTACATAGGTGCCTGTTCCTGGCCTTGGGCTGCCCTGAAGGCACTGGAAGAAAAGGTGATTCAAGTGGCATTTAACAAAGAGGTATGTTTTAAACAAAAACAGCTTTTTGACCGTAACAATAGAAATATTGATCCAAATATGGATTGTCATAACTCTTTGAACTCGTTATTAAATTTCCTATCGATTAGCATTTAAACCTGGACATTTTATTTTTTGCCATTTTTCGTAAAAAATCATGGGCTACCCCTTATAAAAAAATTTAAAATTGGCGAAAATTTTATATTTTCCAAATCACACGGAAAGTGTTCTGGATTTATTGAAAATTTTGTTATCTATTCTAAACAGTACGTGTTTTTGGTGTAGGTCCATTTTTGGCCAAGTTACAGGAAAAAAACGGAAAGAAAAAATTCCAATTTTTGTCAAAAACTAAAATCCCAAATTTCCAAAAAAAAAAAAAATCCTGTTTTTTTTTGCTAAAACAAAGCAATCTTTAGTTCTTTATTTTTGAAGACAATTATTGCCCAATATGTAGTTTTTCTTTAATTTAATCTACATCTACATTGAATACAAATAAGTCGTTTAGAAACCATAGTAGCTGTAGTGTAACCTTTAAGCGAGTCCCCTACATGAATAAATAGGTTTTAACTCCACCATCACAGCATGTAATCGAATTGGGGTGGATTGCATTTCCGCAGCGATACTGGGAAAATGGGGGAAGAGACTCCAGTTCCCAGTTTCTTTTCCTTTTCCCCCGAACAAGCGCAATTACTCACTGCCAGGTCGCGGGAGTGGGTCTAATCACTTGACCCCACTCAACCTTGGGGCGCTTATAATATGACGTGGCCAGTGCAATCCAATCCGAGCAATCCCAGCCAATGTCGTGCCTCATTAACAACATCCGGGCAGTGCAAGGCGTTTTTCCTCCATTTTCACATTTTCACAATTTCCCATTTCCCTTGCCCCGCCGCACCACACGACACTCAATAAATCAGCAAGTGTAATTATTTTCAACGCCATCGTGGTGAGTCGCGTGTGGCGAAAGTGCGGGGAAAGTAAAAGGGGGAGGGGGAGAAAGTTTCTAGGCGGCATTTTTGGATGGGGCTAGAAGGAGCTGGGTGCCAAGGTCAAGAAAACACACATGGCCGAGATTGAGATTGCGAAAACCTTTGGGCCTGCCCTGTTTAAAAATATATGTTTTAGGTTTTCCTCTACCTCACTTCTCATTGAAATTTTTTAGACAAGTCGAGTAAATCCGATTAAAATCACAAAGGATTGCCAGTTTTATGTATGTAAATATTCATGAAATGATTAAAATATATTTTATTTCAGCATCATACAAATTAAATAATAAATTGCAATTTTTTTCCTATTATATAGCAATGTTTTAAAAAAAGTCTTAAAATATAACTTCGATGCTAATATTATGTTTAAAGTTTTTACTTTGGAAATAATTATATTGTCATTCATGACCCTTTATTTAAAATTCAGGGAGGCTGCGAATATTATTCTTATTTTTTGACCAACAAAAATAAATAAATCAATAAATAACTGCTTTCGGATGGTCAAATATAAACCTTATTAAGAAAAAAGCGTGGTTATAATTGTCCAAACGACCTAACAATAAACAAAAAGTATACGGAAATAGTACAACGGGTATATATGTACCTATATATTTTCCTCTGCGCTCGAGTCGATGGAATCGCGATGAGCCTCGGGGGACGACGATATCACATTTTCCGTATACGAAATACATATGTAGCTTTGACCCGTGCCCATAATTCAAATTGAGTGGCAATGGCGGCGCTGAAATAGAATGCAGCGGCAGGCGGCGGGGACGGTAAGCAAATTGGTTTCAGATTTAGTCCGCCCGGGATGGCAGGACAGCAGGATGGCAGGATAGCAGGATGGCAGGACACAGCGACAGAGACACATGTTGCCCCAGGGGCGAAAAGAATCACGACACCAAAAATGGGTCCTGCGAGTCCATGGACCATATGTGCGAATGTGTGTATATGCTGCCTTCTCTGTGTCGCCTGCGGTATTGAACAGATGCTGTCGCCTGCCCAAGATCAACAATTTAATGGGCATCGTCGTCCTTGTATCGTCGTCCTGCAATCGCCTGCGACGGCCTGCGGCAAATGCTTGTTAACTAGTTATGCGGCGGCTTCGCTGTCCGAAACTTTAAACATCTGACACTAGTGCCAATGAACAGGAGCTCCAAGCCAGCAATGTCGCCAACCGCCGGAGGAAATTTTTACATTTGTGCGACATCAGCATGACATTTGATTAATTCCATTAGGACAGACATCTGGGGAGGGGGAGGGGGTTTGGGGTTGGTTTAATGCTCAAGGCGGCGGCAACGGGGCGTATGAGCAATCACGTATACGCAGGGTGGACTGAAAAATGTAACCTTAAAGTTTAAACTAATTGTCTAATGCCATAAAATTTGAAAAAACCCAATTAGCAGTCGCAGATTTATATACCATGAAATATTTTTGTGTAATTTATTGTGTAAAAATATATTAGAAATGTAATAAAGTCGGAAAACCCTTTTTTCTTTTGCTGGGCTAACTGCAGAATGATTGAAATTTGCCCAAGCAAATCGGAAATTCTCGCCTAAGCTTAAAGTTATTGTTTGAATGGCTGCACCAGATTGATGGGCGGGAGGATGGGGGCGTTGCCAGGGGCGCCCGGAAAAAGGGGCGACGGCCGGGCAGACAAAGGCTGAATCGCGACTAGATATATTTTTGTATATGGGACAAAAACCGCTTATCGCTTCAAGTCTACTCAAGCGTCAACAGAGCGATTCATTCGAGAATTTCTTATGCTTCACTGAACCAGAAGTGTCGTCGTCGTCGTCGGCCACGTCGCCGTTCCTATATAAGTGTATATAAATATATATATATAGATATGCGGACACACACTTGCCGACACGGGGGACAGAGGTGAGTGTGTGCGAGCAAGTCATCCACCCCGTGGATTCTCCTTCCCCATTCCGCATCCGCATCCGCATCCGCATCCCAATTCCCCAGCAACCCTCCATCATCATTTACACCGCCTGGCCAATGGTTGCCCCTTTTTTGTGCCAACGCATTCGATTTTTCCCCCTTTCCATTGTTTTCTATATTTTTTGCTTTTCTTTTTCTTGTGTTTTTTTTTGTGCGTGGATCGTATTCTTGTCTAATGGAAAATTATTGAGAAGAAAAGCCAAATTGCACGCTCAATTTTCTACGGGGCTCGGCCGAGGAGGCTGTCATGTTCCGTTATTTCTTTATCCTCAATGATTCTTTTTTTTTTGTTTTCTATTTTCTAAAGCATAAAAAGTAAAGTGCGTCTAAATTGAGGTGGAGGTGGAGGAGGAGGATGGAAAAGGAGTGAGTCGCAAGGCAGGGAAATGGCTAAAGAAAAGCCAACATCGCCGAGCAATCTAAGCAGAAAAGGATAACAGACTGCCAACAGGGACACTCGTACACTTGTCGGCCAAAAAAAGAGATTAGACAGTTTTTATCACTGCGGATGTCCAAGTAAGTGACGGCTCGCCCCGAAAGTGTGCGACAGGAGACTCCATATTTGGGTCGTTTCCTGGCAAGCCGAAACGCTTTTATAGGACTGGAGAAAGGAATTTTATTTAGAATTTTATCGTTGCAACTTAAGGCAAGAGAAAAGTACTTAAGTCGCTCCTGTGCTTTTGGGTTAAATTAAAGTTAAAAGTTATTTGACTAATATGCCTGTTTGAAGTTATATAATAGATCTCTCACTGCGCTAACACTACAAATTAAATAATACACTTTTACACTTTACACTGTTGACATGCTAAATTTAAAGCTGACTTTAGAACTTTAAAAAGGTTTGGGAATTCAGAGCTTAGTTTATCTTATTTAAGTTTAATTAACATGCCCT